CGCTGTGCACGGTTATAATACGAGGCAGGCGGCAAGGCTGAACAGATCAAGGCCAGCAGGAAACGTCAACGCACGACTCTGATGATGGAAACGAGTGTGTTTCCGAAACGTCAGTCTGAATACAACCTGGTCCATGAAATCGCTTTCTCTTCTTCGTCTTCCTCGGGGGATGATATATGCGATATATACATATACATATATATATATATATATATATATATATTTACATGCTGGAAAACTGGCATCCCAAGAAATTTAATTAAAAATAAGCAAGATTTTTTGGGAAGGGAATACCCGGGACATGCTACCTATCAAATGTTGATTTTTAACAATCACCGAAATTAGGAGCCTAATGTCTGCCGCATTAATCGTTAACTACTATTCTTAATATTAGGCAGGTCACTCTGTGAAGAATTATTGTTTGCATAACAGTCATACAATTGGGTGGAATTGGCCAAATGGCCCACAAGTAAGTAAGATGACGATTTTATTCCTCTTGCCTTTGAAAGTACTATTAAATTGCCCCTTATGCCTATTTATAGGGAGCAACCGTAAACGGTATCTCTACCAGTAAACAGAAAAAGGATAAGGTAATTTGATCTACTTCAGCGAAATTCCATCGAAGGCGACGCGGTTGGTCATCAATGCGAAGGACTTTCCACGAGAAGACATGTTATCGACAGCGACGTTTAAGTATTGTCGACGCCTGTGAACTGCAAATTATTGTTATTACCACCAAGAGCCCGGACCTCAATCCGATTGAAATTATTTTTACCCTAAATAGACAGTGTTGGGACAAGACAAAAAACACCTTTCGGTACTAGCCGGGTGTAGAATTATCAGTAATGGGGTATTGCCTAGAACTGATCACGTTGGACCAGAACGGTCCACAAGCAAGCAAGCTGGTGACTTTATTTCTCATGCATTAAAAGAACCCTCACATGTTCTTTACGACTACTAACAGGGAACAAGTGGCAACGTTTTCTCTACGCATTAGAAGAAAAAAGACGAAGCAAATCGATCTCCATCAGCAAACGAGTACCACAAAGCAGTTACTTTTGTGATGAGATTATATTTTTAGACTAGTCAACAAAGGCTTTCTTGGTGGTCATCTGTGCGATGGACCTCCCACGTGAACACACTGTATCGACAACAACTTTCAAACACTGTCGACGTATGATGGTGTAGATGAACTGTACATCGCAATATCGTTTTACTGCCGCCAATAGCCCGAACCACCGTCGGATCGAAAATCCTTTTAATCTAATTAAACAAAATCGTGACAAGGCAAAAAGGACCTTTCACTGCAGCAAAACTGC